GGGGGGGGGGGGTCTATATTAGTTGTCTCGGAATCCATACAGAACAGACAGAAAATTGATTGATTCCTGGGGCACATCTTTCCATCTTTCCCTGTTTTCATTGTTATAGTTATGGCCCCTTCCTCCCCTAATCAATGAGAAGATGTATAAGGGTAATAAATTTGTTCCTCAAAAAAGCACTACATCAGGGCCCAAAGGCCCTGATAATCAGCTGATCTTCAGAATTATAATCCAGAATCATTATTCAAAAGTTAAACTAATTTGAATGTTATTTGTAAATATTGAATACACTTGACATTTTTGTCTTGATGGATTTGGTGCCATTGGCCATCCAAGACGACTCTGAGGTGTTGGTAGTTCGGAGCCTCTGGGATCTATTTCAGATACAGTTGGGATACTATAATGAGGAAGAAATCACACAGGGTTTTTTGTTTAGTTTTTTTGTTGTTTGGTTGTGTGGTGATTCTTTGGGTTTTTTTAAGAGTAACAGCTGCCATTTATTGAACACTGGCACTTTGCTAAATGCTTTACAAACCACTCCTATGCTTTTATTAGTTACCTGTGGAAATGTTATGTTTAGGGAAAGAGATGCTAGACCCTGCTTTTATTTACGTACCCCACCTACATAGTTTTGTTTTTAAAATATTTATGACAGGCCCTGGCCAGTGTGGCTCAGTGGTGGATCGTCAGCCTGAGCACTGGAAGGGTGTCAGGTTCGATTCCCAGTCAGGGGCGCGTCACCTGGGCTGCAGGTTCATTCTCCAACCCCGGTGGGAGGCAATCAATTGCTGTGTCACTCTCACATCGATGTTTCTCTCCCTCCCCCCCTTTCACTCTCTCTAAAAATCAGCGGAAAAAAATATCGTCAGCTGAGGATTAACAACAACAAAAAATTAAAATATTTGTATCCAGCAAAGAGGACCTTTAATCTTCGATTTTAGTACCTGGGAACTAGGTCTTGGGGTTTGCTTCTTAGGAAGGTAATCTTGAGGCATTTTCCAGCTGATGTCTATTTAAGCAAACACATCAGGGAAGAGAAACGGTTGTGAAGTCTACACATACTGCGCTCTAACTCTTGTTCAGTTGAGTCCAAGTTCCTGTTGCTTTTCAGATTCTTAGGTAGTTTTGCTGGAACTTGATTCAGATTGTTTTGGGAATTCCTTGAGAGCCTTTGAAATAACATTCTATGTTGAAAAGAATCTTACCAAGTATTTATTGAGACCCAGCCTTGTTCACAAAACAATATACAGTTGACCCTTGTGCAGCACAGGGGTTAGGGACACTGAGGAGAACTTCTGACTCCCCCAAAATAGCCTGCTGCTCACCGAAACCTTACAGATAGCATTAACAGTTAACACATATTTTCTATGTTATATGTATTATATACTGTATTCTTACCATAAAGTAAGCTAGAGAAAAGAAAGTGTTAAAATCATAAGGGAGAGAGAATACATTTACAGTACTGTATATATTTATTGAAAGAAAACCTGTTTATAAATGGACCCACCCAATTCAAACCCCTGTTCTTCAAAAGTCAACTGTATTCATCTGACCAGACATGTCATTCCTTGGCTTTTTTCCTGTCTTATCTGGATCTTGCTTGACCTTCTAAACATTTCATCTGGAAAAAATCAGTGATGATTTGGAAATAGAATTTATAATTCTTTTTTTTTTTTTTTTTTAAAGGGGGGNATCTTGCTTGACCTTCTAAACATTTCATCTGGAAAAAATCAGTGATGATTTGGAAATAGAATTTATAATTCTTTTTTTTTTTTTTTTTTTAAACGAGCGGGAGAAGAAGGGGCGTGGGAGAGAGATTTTTCGTTCCACTTATTCATGCGTTCATCGGTTGATGTGCCCTGACCGGGGATCGAACCTGCACCCTTGGCGTATCAGGATGGTGCTCTAACCAACTGAGCTACCCAGCCAGGGACAATTTCTGTCATTCTAACTTGACTCTCCCCACACACACCCAGAGGTAGGGTAGGAGTTTGTACCTGCATAACTGAAAAGGTTACAGAAGTCGTCATAACATACCATTCTCGAAACATCATTTGTGAATTATTTCCCAAAAAATGTGAAGCAGAAATTAGAAATCTAGAGAAGTAACTGTATTTCAGGGACATTCGCCATAGACTTTATTTATTTATTTTTAAAATACATCTTTATTGATTTCAGAGAGAGGAAAGGAGAGGGAGAGATAGAGACAGAAACATCAATGATGAGAGAGTCACTGATCCGCTGCCTCGAGCCCGCAACCCGGGCATGTGCCCTGACCGGGAATTGAACCCGGATCGCCTGGATCCTAGGTCAACGCTCAGCTGCTGAGCCACGCCCGGCTGGCTCGCCATAGATTTTAATGGTGCTTTATTTATTTACTTTCCCTTTTACTGGACCAGATGTGATCTGATCCTTAGCTCTCAAAGGAAGGGAACGTTAGTTTTTAATTAAACCAATGTAATTAGCATTTTTCCTTGAAGAAAACCTAGACTTCTGATACAGATACTTGTGTTTCAATTTGTCTGATCCTTGTTGCCCTCCTTCGGGTCAGCTGACTAACTGACTAACTGTGGTTAAAATGAGTTTCTTAACTGAAAGGTTAGGTTGCTAGGGTTACAGTATCAAGACCATTGGTAAATTATTCACGGAGGTTGGTGGTGGGGGATTTCTTGGTCATTTCTGCTCATGGCATTTTATTTAACATGCGTTCCTTATGAGAAACTGAAACTGTCTTTCATTTGGTCAACAGTGAGGATAGAGTTTTGAGATAAAGGGCAGAAATCAACTATAAACAGTCAGATCTTAACTGTGGAAACTCCATTAAAAAGAATACAAGGAAATATGCTTAATGTCAACAGTGATTGTAAAGGTTTGGAGGAGGTTATTTCCCCTTTTTTTTGGATTTTGGAATGTTCCACCACAGAAAATCAAAGAAGTGGGCGCTTGGTTTTTTTTTTAAACTAACTTGTGTTGTAGATGGCAAAATTCTGTGCCTTTGTGACTTCAGTTCAAGTCACCCCTTTCACCAGTTGATAAGCATTTAGTGAATGTGTCCAAAATACCTAGATTTGATGTGGAAACGTGTTTAATACCAATCTCTTTATTTTCCTTTTGTTTGCTTATTTTGGAGATAGACTGACTACTTAATATTTTCTAAAATATTCATGGAGACATAATTGACATACTATACACACGCTTGTTTCATCTTATCAAGTAATACTACAAAGGACACGGAAGGATTTTTTTTCAAACAGTATGTTTTGTTTTGTTTTATTAAAAGATAGGTCTTGCTTTCAGGGCCTCTGAAGTGTGCTTTGTGTCACATTTTCTCAGGTCTTAGGAGGGTTTTTTAACACACGCTTTCCCTTTGCCTTCGCAGTATGCTTTTCAGGAGGCCTTGAACAGCGCGGGAGATAAACTTGTAGTAGTTGACTTCTCGGCCACGTGGTGCGGGCCCTGCAAAATGATCAAGCCCTTCTTCCATGTGAGTATTAAACCACCTCTGCCTTGTAGGAGATTTGTGTTCTTTGGGTTGGCGGTAACAAAGCTAGAAAAAAACACAGGACAATTAAAAAGAGTTTGCGGGTTTGTTATTGGATCTTTGGTCAAAAAGTAACAACTTAAAGAGGTTAGCTTTGACACACATAACCCATTGAAGACAGCTTTCAAAAGCTAATTTGGTTGTCTCAAATGGTTTTGCTTTTGTTCATTTTGAAACATGGGCCCTGCGCCATTTGAAATTCGGGCCTCAGAAGTTGGTGTGCCAGATTATTTTACACTAGAAGGAATTTGGTTCAGAGAAAATGTATGTTCTTTATGCTTACCTGGTCCCTGGTCTAATTTTTTACATTTTTAATTCGTCTGTACTTTTATTATGTTGCTGTTTAAGAAGGTTGGGTATTGATTGCCATTAACAAGTTCTAATTCTTTGTGTATTTTTCATTTTAAATTTTCCAGTCCCTCTCTGAAAAGTATTCCAATGTGGTGTTCCTTGAAGTAGATGTGGATGACTGTCAGGTATGTGGCTGGAAATCTGCAATCCTACTACGCTTTTCACATAGACTTTTTCTCTGTATTCCAAGCGATTGTTTTCATAAATGTCAAATAAAACTAGAACTACAGCCTTAGTTAAAAAGTTATATTTTGGAAGAACAGATAATTGTGCCAATTATGAGCTTAATCCTAGATATCAGGAGGTACGTACACNTAGAACTACAGCCTTAGTTAAAGAGTTATATTTTGGAAGAACAGATAATTGTGCCAATTATGAGCTTAATCCTAGATATCAGGAGGTACGTACACCACATCCTAAAATAAGTATAAAAATAGATGGTTGAGGCTTCGGTACCTTACTTTCCAGGTACTTTCCAAAAACCTATGGATTCTACCTAACATTCTGAGATGCTCAATACATAGAAATGGAATTAGACTATGATAACTAAATCCGTAGAGTTGGTGTGACCAACTGTGGAGACCACTTTTAAGGTTCTTGGGAAATAATGACATGAGAAAGTGTGTTCACAAACTTATTCTAGTCTTAGTTGATTTTGGTCAGTTAGAAAACCCAACTGTTTTAATGAAAAAACACCAAGGTGCCTAGTAGAGAGCTGAGAGAATAATTAGGGGGGAAATCCCAGGGTTGATTTAATTAACAAAAATGCTTGTTTAGCACTTTGTGTGCCAGGCACTGGTTTCTGTGCTTTACAAGCATTGATTCATTTCAGTCCTTGATGCTATCATCACCCCCATTTTACAGATGAAGGAAACAGAGAGGTGGGCCTTGGAGGCACAGCGGCAGTGCCAGGATTGAAAACGAGGGCCCCTGGCTGCCCAGCCCTTGCTCTTCACCACCCTTTAGAGGAGGCTCTGTGGTGTGGTGGGTACAGATCAGGTTCTCAGCATGTGACGGTGCCTCTCACACAGCCCACTGAAAAGGAGGGTCTGCTCCAGATGTCTTACCTAGGGGTTCTCTACAGATATGTGGGCATTTTCCCCTTGCCCCAGGGGGCAGGAGAGGTGCTAGACCTTGGTCCAGCCCTGGCTCAGTGACTTCTGCCTTAGGCTGATTTCTCTTCTTCCTTGAGCCTTGGCTTTTCTCTCTGATCAGATGTTACCTGCCCCATCAACTTGCCAAGGTTGCATATTTGTTGAGCAGCCATGGAATGGGATAAAAGTACTAAAGGGTCCATAAAGCAGATATGTGGTTATACTTTCTAAACCTGTGAGGGCCCACCCACACCACATTGCTAATTCTCAGCACATTCTCCTATTCCACACTCGTCCCGTTGCTCGAACTCTCTTCTCTGCCTGGCACAGCCTTTCCTTTCCTTCCCGATGAACTCCTAGCCGTAAGCGTCACATCTTTTCCAGGAACTCTTCTACAGCTAGCCCCTTGAACGCTCCAGACTGGGTTAGTTTCCCGTTCTCTGTGTCCCCATCATGTCCCCGGCCCCTCATTCCTCTTGCATTTATGGTAGTGGAGTGGAGTGAGTCCTGCATCTAGACTGCTTGCTATGTTTCCCAGCTCTGTCCCTTGTTAGCTGTGCAGGCTTATCTTCTCTGTGCCTCAGTTTGAACCTCTGTGAAATGGCACTATTAATCCAACATCATAGGGTAGTCATCAGGATTAAATGAGATAGCACGTGTAAAAAGTTTAGGACAGTCCCTGGCACATGTTAAGTACTCATTGAATTGTTATAATGATCTCTTTGTGCCCGATCTTTACCGTTAGTCTCTGGGCCAAGGCCCGGTGCTCTTACTGCCTCGGTCCTGAACCTTCCGGGAGAAGGTGCAGAGGGCAGTCAGGACTGGTGTGTGTCAGCGCTCCTCCTCCGTGTCTGGTTGGCACCCTCATAATCACCCTGGGTTTCCAAACATTGAAGTGACCTGCTCACAAACTGGGGACCTTTCACTGCCCCTCCACATTCTAAAGATTGAACAACCTGTGGTGTCTTTCTCTCCGAATGCCTTTAGGGATTGCTATTACAACCACCCAAATAGCCTGTTACAGAGTTAAAAATTGAACTGGTTCCAGAACCCTTTGGTCACCACATACACACAGCGGCAGCGTGGTCAGCTCCTGCTCACCTGGTGGTTTAGCAGAATTAGCAAGGCAGGAAATTCAAACAGAACAGTTCATTGAACAGGCAGGGAGTTTTCCCCATGGAATCGATGAATTCCGGGAGTGGCTCTCCTGGTTGCTTGGGAACTCTACGGAAAGCCATCCCCTCGTTTCAACTCTAAAAGAACACAGATAAAGGGTAAAAATTACATCAGTCTCATTTCTGAATGTTAGATCGTATCATTAAGTAGATGGAATGTTTAATGTCTGAATTCATTTTTAAAATTTATATACAGTCAATTCCTGACCATGAACTTCAGACCCAGGGTAATTTATACATTTATAATGTCTTTGGAGCAAGCAGCATACAGTTTTATATGAAGGATCTATATGCCCTTGGATGGGAAGAAGCTATCTTTCGGGTGTAATAGATTGAAATCGACAGGAGGCATGGACATGTAATGTGGTTCACAGAGAAAATGTATTCCCAGAGAAGTTTGAGCACTACCCCTTTGGGAAATGAAAGACTCCCAGCTCTCTGCAGGGCATGATGCTCTTGTAAACCAAAATAACAAACAAGTAATTTAGACCTGATAGTTTTGCGGCCTTTTAGACTGCTGTGTTTCCATTTTGCTTAGAACAGCCAGGAATGAGTTAATAATAGAAGTGACAAAAGCAGGTTTAAAGTTGTTTTGGCCATATGGAGCGCTAAGCCAGAAACCAATGAGACTAACAAGGTAAAATGTACTCTTGTTACACTTACTAATAAGAACTAATAAAAATCTGAGACTGGGTAAAACTGTAGGACTGGAGAACAAACAGGTCAGTGGTTGGCAGGGGTTGGGGTAGGGGGAAGGTTTGACTACCAAGGAGTTGCTGAAGGGAATTTTAGGGGAGTGGGAATAGTTTTATGTCCTGCTTTTGGTGGTGGTTTTATAACTATGCATTTGTCAAAACTCACAGAACTTGTCCACACACACCCCCAAAGTGAATTTTACTATATGTAAGTTTACAATTCCAGATTGTTCTCTCACACACACACACAGTCCACCCCCAACAAACAGGAAGTGGGGAGTTATTAGGGTGTAACCTGGCTTTCTGTTTCTAAGTGAGGAAGTGATAAGAATGTTTTTAAAACCGCTAAGGTAACTACTTCATTTTTAAGTGGGCATAACTTTAAAATCACTGCAGAAATAGCAAACCAGTCCATAAAACAAGAAAACAGAAATGAGAAATGTAAAATACTAACTTTAAATAGCAACGGTCAGGTCCATAGAAGATCTTAACACTTAGGCATACTGTGTTCCTGGAATATTGACACGGCCTTATTGAAATGTCAGATTCCCAAATTTGTCCAACTTGAACAGTCTGACGTTTTGGGAAAATTGACCATGATATTCTGAAATAACGTGGTCAGGAAAGTCCCATGAACATTCTTTGGTTTCTGTGATCTGGTTCTGGGGGCTCTGCCTCCTGGGTTGCTGTCTGCACAGTTTTTGCTGCTTTAGGGCTGCGAGGTTCTCCACATCTTACCTGATCTCTCTGGAGTGCCAAGCTGGCATCGCCAGTCCCTTAACAGACCTCTTCACCTGAAACACTTGTCCAAAGAAAACCATTTTCATGGCATTTCCTTCCAAACCTTGTGTGAACAAAGTACCATATTAAAAGTTCTTGGTGTTCCTGTAACAGAATTGAAGAATGCTTGATATGTCAGTGACCTTTGAGCTGCTGAAAAACCTTCAGATGTGGTAGGAGCCACATCTAGGGGAAGAGAAGAGAAGATATGCACCAACTAGCTCAGTTTACAGCTTTTTCTCAAAGCTGGGTGGCCCGTGAAGGTTAGATAGAGTCAGCTAGGGCTCAGCCTTGTACTGATTTATGAGGGGGACGTAGGGGAACCTTGTAGTGCCCCTCGGGCGAGTCTAATAATGCCACCAGGTTTAAGAACATACAAGTAAATTTTTAATTAAAAAATAAAAGAAACAAAAACCAGTGTTTTTCTCTTTTTAGATTAAGGTGGCATTATTCTTGAACAACTCTTTTGCAAGTGACGCGCTTCTCTTTCCAACACGTTGGACTTTAGCCTTTAGGATCATCATTTCTGTATCTCATTCCCGTAATAAGTCTGGGAAAACTATGAGCAAAGACAAGAGGTGCTAATTCTGAGGAATAGTTGGGCTTTTAATCCTGAGTAAAGTTAAAGAATTTGTAAATGCTTCCTTACGATTCTTTAAAATTATTCTTAAAATCCAAGATCTAATTGGACGAAAGAGTTATTGAATCACCGTGTAGTATCCGATGCTAGTAGCATTCTGCTCCTTGGTGCCCCTCCGAAGAGAGTACATATCAGTAAGAATTTTGATTGAAATATAACCAGTTCAGGCTTTTGTGTTACCATGATATCCACTGTCGGTTTTTATATGCGAAAGAAAGTCCCGATGCTGAGATACGGAGTGTGTGGCAGGAAAAAGAACCTGGGTTTGGATTGCGTGCTTCTGTCAAAGCTCCGCACTTAGCCGTGGTTCTCTTGTCTCTCCCACTGTCCCCCGCCCCAGGATGTTGCTGCAGAGTGTGAAGTCAAATGCATGCCGACCTTCCAGTTTTTCAAAAAAGGACAGAAGGTAGGTACATCTGAGCTTGCAGGAAGCTAACTGAGTAACAGGAAAACACGGTATAAATGAAGAAACTGCCGTGGCTTACTCCGCCCTGGGAAGCAGGCCCCGCTGTCTGCTTCCGAGACTGTAACAAACATGTCACTCTTCACTGATTAGGTATCTAGTGTGGCTTCTAACTGGAAATTGGTCTTTGCTAGAACTAGTCACTGAATCTGTGATCGGTACCTCATACGTAATACAGTATATTTGTCTTCTTTAAGAGCTATTTGTGTCAGAAACGTACTTGAGCCTTTTGCCTGTTGTCGAGGGGCTGTTTTTTCATAGTTTTTGTCTTTAACTTAAAACTGTGTTATCCAAGGGTGTTCATTTTAAATAAGGTTATATTTCTCCCTCCCCCTTACTCCCAGTTGTCCCCATTCTGTGATCATGTCTTATGCACAAAACAGAGATACAAGGCTACTGTCTAATGTCAATCCAATATCCTCTTAACAGGTGGGTGAGTTTTCTGGAGCTAATAAGGACAAACTTGAAGCCACCATCAATGAATTAGTTTAATCGTGTTTTCTGAAAACAACCAGCCATCGGCTCTGTAATTTTTTTTATTTACAAAAATGAAGATAGATCAAGTATAGAGACTATATACTCAACTACCATCTGATTATAAATGACAATAAAATATTAATTCTACCCTTTTTAAAACTGTCTGGTGTCTTGACTAGTTTTCAAAATAAATGAAAAGTGGCCAATTAGATGATATTTAGTGTCTTAATTATTTTCATATATTCTTGATGCACTTTTTAAAAAAATAATTTTTTAAAAATTTAATTCATTT